CTTCGGTGGAGCTCCCTATGGGGCCACGAAACGTGTGAGGGGTGTGCCGAAATGGGTGTGCGGGACGCATGCGGGCACACCCACTGGGACCTTCGGCGGAGCTCCCTATGGGGCCACGAAACGTGTGAGGGGTGTGCCGAAATGGGTGCGCGGAGGAGGAGGGGGAGGAGGAGGAGAGGAGAGGAAACGCGGGGCACCGTCTCTTCAAAACGGGGACCCAACACCACAGGATGGTTGGGAAAAAACGCCATTATCGGGCCCCCAACGCCACGAATCAACCTGACTGTGTCGTCTTGGCGATCCTGAATCGCGCCAGAACACCGGTCTTGGGACTTCAACACCGCGAATCAACGCAACTGTTACGCCCTGACAACCCTGAACCTTCTCAAACATAATTTCTGATACGTTGACCATGGGAATCCATGGAACTCTTGCAACTTGTTCAAGACGAATGTGCGCGGCGCTCAGGCGAGAGCCACATCTTGAAAAAGAACCGCCCTCAATCCTTGAAACTCTTACAACTCTTTGAAACGAATGTGCACGGCGCTGGGGCGAGAGCCACATTCTGAGAACGACCCGCGCTCCATCCGTGAAACTCTTCCACATGTTTAACACGAATGTGCGCGACGCCCAAGCGAAAGTCACGTTTTGAAAACCACCCGCCCTGCATCCGTGAAACTCTTACAAATCATTTAAGACGCATGTGTGCGGCGCTAAGGCGAGAGCCACAATTTGAAACATCCGCCCTCCAGCCGTGAAACTCGTGCATTTTTTTGAAACGAGCATGCGCGGCGCTAAAGCGAGATACACATGATCACGACCGCCGCAATTTGTGAAACCGTTGTCATTTTTGGGGCTTCAGGACTATAAGTGGAGAAGAAGTCTCGGGCGAAACGTCCGGCCCGCCCTTCCGACTGGCCTCGGGGTGCGACAAGGAGGTAGGGAAAAGGCACGGAGAAGGACGAGGAGGAGGACGACGACGACGACGAAGAAAAGCACTGTCACGCGGCGGCCTGAGTATGGAACACCGACTGGTCCACAGACTCCCCATAGCCCGCGTATATCCGGTCCACGCTCTCCATGCCGGACACCACCTGGACTGGGAGGGAAGACAATGACGAGGAGGAGGATACCCTCCTCCTCGTCCCCTCCTCGCCCTCCTCCTCCTCCTCCTCCTCCTCCTCCTCCTCCTCCTCTTCCCCCTCCTCCTCCTACTCCTGCCTCCCTCATCCTTCTGCTGCTCCACCTCATCTCCATCGTCTTCCACCTCCTTTTCTCCCTCTTTGTCCTCCTCCTCATCATCCTCCTTCTCCTCCTCCCGTTGAATGCTGAAACAACTGAACACAGCCAGAGTCTGACCTCCTCATCATCCTCATCCTTCTCTATCATCATGATCATCATCATCATCATCATCATCATCATCATCATCAGCAGCAGCAGCAGCAGCAGCATCACCATCATCATCAGAAGCAGCATCAGCATCAGCATCAGCATCAACATCATCAGCAGAATCAGCATCATCATCACCAGCATCATCATCAGTATCATCATCATCATCATCATCATCATCATCATCATCATCATCATCATCATCATCAGCAGCAGCAGCAGCAGCAGCAGCAGCAGCACCATCATACCATCACAACCAGCATGTTCCTCATCATCAGCATCAGCAGCAACAGTGTCATCAGTATGAGTACCATCGTCATCCACATCCTCCTCATCCGTATCATCATCATTAGAATCAGCAGCAGCAGCATCAGCATCAGCATCAGCATCATTAGCGTCAGCGTCAGCATCAGCACCATCATCATCACCATCATCGTCATCAGCATTATCATCATCAGCATCACCATCACCATCACCATCACCATCACCATCATCGTCATCATCATCATCATCAGCATCATCATCATCATCATCATCTTCGTCATTATCATCAGCAACAGCATCATCATCATAAGCATCATTATCACCATCATCCTCATCAGCATCATCACCACCACCACCATCATCATCATCAGCAGCAGCATCATCAGCATCACCATCATACCCATCATAATTCACAGCAACAACAGCAACAACAACAACAATCGCAGCAACAACAACAACCGTAACAACAGCATCACCATCATCATCAAAATTAGCACCACCAGCATCATCATCAGCATCATCACCATCATCGTCGTCGCTGTTGTCGTCGTCATCGTCATCATCCGCATCGTTATCTTCAACAACCTCGTTATCCTCAGCATAATCATCAGCATCATCATCATCATCATCATCATCATCATCATCATCATGAGCATCATGAGCATCACCATCATCACGGCCATCATTATCAGCATCATCGACACCACCCCCATCATCAGCGTCATATAATAATCATCTGCATCAGCAGCATCAGCATCAGCATCAGCATAATCATCAGCATCAACAGCACCAGCGTCATCATTATCCACATCATCATCGTCATCATCATCAGCAGCAGCATCATCAGATGCATCATCCTCAACAGCAGCATCATCATCAGCATCACCATCAGTTTCCACAACACAACATCATCACCACCGGCCACCAACATCGTCCTCAGCATCATCATCAGAATCATCATCATAATCATAAGCATGGTCATAATCATCATCAGCATCAGCATCATCAGCATCATCATTAGTTTCAGTATCATCAACAGCATCATCATTATCGTCATCATAATCGCAATAAGTATCGTCATCATCAACATCAGTTGCTCGCCGCATGGCGTCTTCGGTCTGGGGGCCTCTGGTTATTTGAAGGCTCTCTGGCGTGATCGGGGGCCCAAAACCGTGTGGTTTGGACCGCGTGGTGACCTCGGAATCCTCGACGACCTCACCGCGCGGACCGTCACCGCATGGTCTTGTGACCTCGAAGGCCCCAGTCGCCCGAGACGTCCTCGGAGAACGACCCGAATCTCAAAAATCGTGCGGTGACCCCAGATCCCCCCTGACTCACCACGCGGCGTGGTCACCACACAGTTTGGGGGCCCCCGAAATCTTTCCGCGACGTCGGACGTCAGCGCAGGGACCAAGCACCAGAAGAGCGAGGCACGCCCTGCGCCGAGCCCATGGGCGCTGGCGGGGCGCAGGTGGCGCAACGAGGGCGCTGCGCCTACGTGGAGTGCGCCCCTTCGCCCCTCCCCCCCGCGGCGCCCGCCCTGCCGCGCAGGCCCGCCGCGGAACTCGCGGGCCCCCTCCCCCCCGTCGCCTCTGTGAGGCCACTGGACAATGCTTCTTTTGGAGGGGGAGGGGACGATGAGCGGATATGGAACATGTAAACTCCGTGCACTCCAAACTGGTACATGTGCTCTGGCTCAGCCGCTTCACAAAGGCCCCCCCCCCGCCGCCCCCCGTCGGCTACCGCGGGTTCGTGCCCTGGCGACTTGCGCGTTGGCTACTGACATCACATGGATCTTTCAACCTTGAGTGGTCGCGGCTACGGCGGGCTTGTGTCGTGACGACTGGAGCGTTGGCTTCCGACATCAAATGGACCATTTAGCCTTGAGCGGTCGCGGCTTCCGATGTTGCAGATCCTTCGATGTCGGCCGACTTCGGGCCACTGGAGGCGTTCACCCTTAGCGCCCACGCTGGGGCCGCCGCCCAGTAAACGCGACGCGAACCTATCGCTTATGCAAAAGTGGCCCCAGGCAAGAATGGCTCCTGGTGCGCGGCTCCACGGCGGGCGCCTTGGGGGGGAGCCAAATCCGAGCGGGCAAGCCGCTGCCATCGCTTCGTATTCGGCGATCGGGGGGCCCCTCTGGGTCCGCTCCCAATGATCGATCCGGCGACGGGTCACTCACAAGAATACAATCGACAAAGCAGAAGAAAGAAAACTACATGATCAGAACCCTTCGGAGGTCCGCACCGATTTGTCGGGTTGGCGCTGGCCTGGCGCGCGCGGAATGCGCCAGGGGCGACGCAAGAGGCGCCGCCAAGGGGGGGCCCAGCGCCGACCCAGGAAATCCGCGCGGACCTCCGAAAATTGATGCTTCTGCATCTTCTCCTTCGGCAAAGGCCCCCCGCCCTTGGGCCCTGGGGGGGGGCGAGCCTCACCGAAGGGCGCAAAGGAGTACTCGGGCGAGTCCAGGTGCGGATTGTCGGCCAGGTTGACGAAGGCCTGGACCTCGGGAGCGCGGGCAGCAGGGCGCAGAAGGGGCAGGAGGCCCGGGCGAGAGCGAGACCTTCGACAAATGTTCGTCGCTGCTCTGACATGCCGGCCCGAGCCGCCAGCTCCCTCTGCACGAAACGGCGACGGAGATGGGCAGAGGGCACCTGGACACCACCCACCGTGCCTGGCCAGGGCCATCCTAGGCCCTGGCGCCCTGTATGCGGTGTCGGCCGAGGCCCAGGAGGGCATGTAAACCATCCTGGGGGCCGAGATGGCCCTGGCCAGGCACGGCGGTGGTGCACTCTCTGCGAAGGAGCGGGAGAGAGAAAACGAGAAGCAAGCAGACGGCGGAGAAGAGCCAGGAGGAGCAGGGGGGGGAGGAGCGGGAGCGGAGGAGGACCCACGAGGACCAGGAGGAGGACCAGGAGGAGGACGAGGACGAGGACGAGGACGAGGACGAGGAAGAGGACGACGAGGAGGAGGAGGCCGACGAGGAGGAGGACGAGGACCAGGAGCACGAGGACCAGGAGAACGAGGACCAGGAGGACAACGAGGACGGCGAGGACGAGGAAGATGAGGAGGAGGCCAAGGAGGAGAAGCCGCTGCTGGGCGCCGCGGTGCCGCGGCCGCGCGCGGGGGTCAGCGCGGCGCGCGGCGCAGCGCCGCCACCACGGCGGGGAAGCCGACGCGCCCTCCTCGACGGGGTGAAACGGTCCGCTGCCGGGCGCCGCCCACCGGGCTCGTCCAGCGAGCTCGCCGGCGCCCTCGGGGGCCTCGGGGGCGAAGGCGCTCACGCGCGCCAGCGCGCGCCTGCGGGGCGCGCGCTCGCGTGGGGGCGCGACGGCGCCCTGCGCCAGTCACATGGGGAAATAGGCGGCCACGAGCGCCAGCGCGTCCTCGCTGGGAGGGGGGGGCGACGTGTTGTGGCAATGCTTCCGTTCCCCTGTGCGTGCACATCGTGAGTGGCCAGTTTGCCTCAGAAGAGTCCCGCAGGGTACGAAAAGTTGATCCGACACTGTGAAAAAATGCACCGACGCGCCTCATCCCCTTGTGCATGCACACAGCCACCAGTCGGTTTGGCCGCGAAGAGCCCAGCAGGGGACGAAGCGCGAGCCCGATACTGACATAGAGCTGCATCGACGTGCTTTGACAGTCATTGGAAAACTAAGTGGGACCTGCTCTAGAACAGAAACATACCGTAGACGGACCTACCAATTCTCCGATCGTGTACTGCGCCGAACGCGACGGTCGCGTCGTACACCACAGACGTATCCACCCCGAATGCGTTGACATACGCAACGACATGCAGTGCCTCTGTAGACGCTCGTGGCCAGAAAATGACTTCTAGCAGCAGGTAGACTTTGCCCTCCAAGACAGTCCCGCTTGGTTTTCTCAACTTGAGCGGGGGGGCACGGCCAGAGCTCTAAGGCGGCCGCGGGCCTCGTCGCCGCTTCGTCGCCGCTGCCTCCGCCGCTGCCGTCGCCGTCGTCGCTGACTGGGCACGGGGCGCGCACGCCCATCCACCCGGCGAAGCTCAGGCGGCCCTACCCAAAGACTCGCCGGCACAAGCGAGAATTCCCCAGTTCAGATACTGTGCGGGGAACTGCCCAACATCATACCAAACCCGAAACGCCTCCGGGATCAAAACGACGATGGACAGCATGAACCCGACAACCAAACAAACCAACAGACGACAAAACAATCAAACAAGCAAAAAACTAACAAGCAAACAAACAAACACCAAATAACAAACAAAAGAACAAACAGACAAACAAACAAACAAACAAACGATCAACCAAACAAACAAACAAGAAAACGAACAAACAACTCACTGATACACACGAAGAGACCAACGAATATCCGATACGACAAACAAGCCAACAAACAAACCAGCAAACAACCGAAACAAAGAACCCAAACAAAGAACAAGCAGGCAAAAAGGCCAAGAGACAGAAACACGGCCACCCCCGGTCCTCCCGCGCCGCGGCAACGGCGGGCCGCGGCCCGCTCAGCCGCAGTTCCCCCCTGTCGGCCGCCACGCTCAGCTCGACCTGGTAGTCCTCGGCGGAGCGGCGGACACTCGGCCCCTATCCCTCGCCCTTTTGGTAGAAGCCCCCCAAACCAGGTCGGACAGGATGGGGTCGGAGGATGCCGCCGCATCGCCGATGCATCCGTGATGCATCGGCGACGTCGGCGTTCAGCAAATCGGGCCCCACATCGAACCGCATCGCCGATGCATCGTCGTTGCGACGCGATCCTCCGACACCATTTTTGTCCGACCCTATCTGCGACGCCTTGATTCGGGTGCGCCGAAGAGGGGGGCCAAGGAAGAGAAGGAGGTGCTCATCATGCCCCAGGGCATGTGGGCGGGCGATGGGAGGCCGGCGGATGTGTTGGAATAGAACGAGGGGGGGCATGAAATCCGGGGAGATGTCATGGGCCTGGCCATTATATCTACCCCCTTATCAGCACCTTCCTCCTGGCCACCCTCCCTCTTCCGCCTCCCCATCAGATTTGGGCGTCGCCAAAAACCGCGACGGTCATCATTTGTTCGCATGTGTTCGGCTTCCGGGGGGCATTTCCAGCCCCCTGGGACCATCAAAAATCCCACCAGCCCTCTGGGCGTAGGTGGTCTAGAGCAGATCCTCTTCCACCCCTCCCTCTTCCCCCTTGGGGAGGGGTTTACCCCTCCCCCTACCCCCTCCCCTGGACCTGGACGGGGGGGGGCGCGGGTAGTTAGAGCGTCCAAAACGGCCTCGGCGAGGAAGCCAAAATCATTGATTTTACTAGGGTTTTGGCCCCATTTTGGCCTCCTGGGGGGGGGGACGCTAATTCACCCCCCGAAGCAAAAACCATTGATTTTACTACGGTTTTGGCCCCATTTTGGCCTTCTCAGGGGGCCGCGCTCCTCTTCCTTCATAGCAAAATTATTGATTTTACGAAGGTTTTGGGCTCATTTTGTCCTTCTCAGGGGGCAGCGCTCCTTTGCGCTTCAGAGGAGGGCGCAAGAGGCCCCAAGATGGCCCCAAGAGGCCCCCAGGAGCCTCCCAAGAGGCCTCCAAGAGGCCCCCAAGAGGCCCCCAAGAGGCCCCAAGAGGCCCCCAAGAGGTCCCCAAGAGGCCCCCAAGAGGCCCCCAGAGGCCCCACGAGGCCCCCAAGAGGCCCCCAAGAGGCCCCCAAGAGGCCCCCAAGAGGCCCCAAGAGGCTCCAAGAGGCCCCCAAGAGGCCCACTGGGGCCGCCAAGAGGCCCCCAAGACGCCCCAAAAGGGGACGAGGTGCCCGAACGCCTCACGCCACGAGGAGCCCGAACGACTCACACCAGGACGAGGGGCCCGAACGACTCACGCCACGAAGAGCCCGAACGACTCACACCAGAAGGAGGGGCCCGAACGACTCACACCAGGACGAGGCGCCCGAACGACTCACACCACGAGGAGCCCGAACGACTCACACCACGACGAGGGCCCCGAACGACTCACACCACGAGGAGCCCGAACGAGTCACACCAGGAGGAGGGGCCCGAACGACTCACACCAGGACGAGGGGCCCGAACAACTCACACCACGAGAAGCCCGAACGACTCACACCAGGACGAAGAGCCCGAACGACTCACACCACGAAGAGCCCGAACGACTCACACCAGGAAGAAGGGCCCGAACGACTCACACCAGGACGAGAAACCCCAAACGACTCAAACCACGAGGAGCGCTTTCTCTCCCTCCTCCTCCGCCTCGTCCTTCTCCCGCTCCCACCACAAGGATGATGTACAAGAAGGCGGGAGGAAGGAGGAACAGGGGAGATATGCGGGGGCAGGCGGAACACGCCTGACAAACACGACTGTCGGCATGCTGCGCAAGAGTTGCTGTTAGGAGATGGGCTGGTGGGGATACGCGAAGCGTGAAGAATTCTTATGAATGAAAAGCCGGTCTGCCGGCGTAAACGGCGCGACGAAACCGGCGGAGAAATTACACCACGAAAAAGTCTACGATTTATTTCACCTTTCCAAGCTCGTCGCCGAGACAGCGAGACGTGATCTGGTTTGCCCTCCCCCCCGTCTTGCCCACGCGAGCGCGCGGCAGGTGCGCGACGATCTTGCGCTCATCAAGGCCGACGTTGCCCCCTCCGACCCGATCAAATATATGGGCGCAGCGATCCTAACACGACACACTTCTCTGCCTTTTGGGACAGGTAGGCAGCGCCGCGCTGCCCCGCGCGGCGACGTGCCGCGCGCTGCGGCTCAGTCGCCAGCGCGCGCGGCTGGGAGAGGATCGGTGCGTCGATTACACCAATGGCGTGAAAGATCTTGCACATGCCAACTCCGAAGTATGTCGAAGACTTCTTCTCGGCCCTGCGCGCGGCCGAGGCGGGCGCAAACGCGCGCGCCGGGCGCCGCTTTCAGGCGAGGTCAAGCGCGGAGGCGGAGCATGCCACACACTGCCTCGTTCGCCTCGTCAGGGCGCTCCATGGGCCGTCGGCGCTGGCCGAGCATAAACAAGACTGCGGCAATCCGCTGGTCATTGTTAGGCTGCGCATTGAGTTATCGCCAGCGGGGATGCGCGCCGCGCCGTCGGTTGACAAAGCAGAGAGATGGATGAGCCGCATCGCCGACGCAATTCGCGCCGACGAATTGACGGCAGGTGTCATTCGCTCCCGCGCGCGGGCCCAGACGCCGCGCCCTCCGCCGCGCAGGCGCAGCCTCCTACTTCGCAGGGGCGCTCTCCTGGAGCGCGCCCCACCAGTTCAGAAGCGCGGGAAGAGCCATGGCACGCCCGCTTTTCCAGCACGCGCACGGGCATGGCGGCAGACTAAGCGACAACGTGCGAGAACCATTCTCCTGGCGGCACGACGCGCTATCAAGTCGCGTAGTCGAACTGAGTTCAAGGCGAGCGCGCAGGCGCCGATCGCGATACGGGCCGACGCGCGCTCCGCCGCGCCCTGCGGCGGTATTTCTGCGACATGGAGCCATCCGACGAAATCATGAGGCGCGTACGTCGCGCGCCGACGAGCAAGGCGTCCACGCGCGCCGCGCGACCGTCGCGCGCTGGCAATTCTCGCAGCGCGCCGATTCAAAGATCACTGGCCTCGAAGTTCTGGCCGCGGCCATGGACCGTTGCGTCTGGGAATCCCCCCTCCAGCGCCGCCATCTAGTAGTCCTCGGCGACAACGCGGCCGCCGAAGCAATTCTAAAGACGGGCTGCGAGAGCGCCGCCGACCATCGCGCTCTCGCTCACGCATTTTGGTCAGCGATCGGGGCTCTCGACATGCGCGTCGCAATTAAACGCGCGCCGACCGAAGTGGACATCGTCGACTTGCCAGGCCGCAAGGAGCATGACCTGCTGGCGCATCTCGGCGCGCGCCGCACGCAGGCGAGACGCGCCAAGGCGTTCGCGGGCCCAGCTCGCCAGCGCGGGATTTGCTGAGCGCGCGCGACGCGGCGCCCCCCCTGTCTCTGCGCAATCGCGCACTGCCAAGCAGATCCTGCAGCACGCCAGCGGCAGCGCGTCCGTTCATTCGCGTTCATTTGCGCGGCTGGGCCGCGCGCCACGGGCGCGCGGTCGTGCCAACGCGCCGCGCGCGATCTGCGGCGCTCGCGCGCGCGCGAGCTCCGTGGAGCGCATCGCGCGCCCCTCCCACGAAGAGGGCAGAGACGTTGTCTTCGCGTTGCCCTTCCCCGTCGCCCCCCTTCATTCGGCGCAGCCGCCATGCGCGAAGCAGTCGAGTTCCTCGTCGCCGACGACATCTCGTCGCTCGCCGACGCCAGAACGGCGCCGGACTGCCAGCAAGTGGGCCGGCAGCCAGGCGGGGCGCGCGCTCGCGCGTCTCCCAGGCGCCCATCTCCGTCAGCGAAGGCGGCAAGCGACGCGCGCACGAGGCCGGCGCGCGCCGCGCAGCGGTACGCCCCTGTGGCGGGGCCGCCACCACCCGGAGTCCGCGGGGTCGCACCGACTTGCAAACGCCCGCGCCACTCGTCCTCTGACGACAGAGCGCGCCGCGCAGAGCGTCCGCGGTCACTCGTTCTCTGACGACAGCAGCGACGACAGCAGCGACGACAGCAGCTCGACACAGGCAGCGCCGCCCGCCCCTGCGTCGCCCACGCGCAGCCAGGGGCGCGACAACGCGGAAAGCCTGTTAAAGGGGCTGAGTGCGAAAATGCAGCTGTTCGGGAGAATGCAGGCGAATGCCTCGGGGCGACGCGGGCAAGTCGCAGCCGGGGCAGTTAAAGCGTCGCCCGCGTTTGCGAGACAGCTGAGATCCGCGGCCAAGACCGCGGACACTCCTGAGCCGGAGGGTCTCACCTCGAAGCGCCTGCGGCGAGGTCACGCAGAGACCGTCCGCAGGGCGGGAGGCCACCTCAGCGACATCGTGGGAGCGGGCGGCTGGCCGCGCGCGCAGCTGCCGTCGCGCGCAGCTTGCACTGGGTGCCCCGCGTCGTCGGCAGCAACATGCAAGCTCGCAACAAGCGTCAAGCCCGCGCGATGCCCCCTCGCCTCGCCAATGGATTATGCCACGGAGGCGGCGCCGCGCCGCAGTGGGCTCTGCCACTGATGCAGCGCTTTCGAGGGGGCGCGTCGCACCCATCGACAGGGCGCGACGTGCCCGGACACTTGTCACCACCGAACTGCGCCAAATGAAAAGCCGGCCCCCAAGAAGAGGTTGAGATCCCTGGGGAGCCCGCGTCGCGCCAAAAAAAAACGCCGTCGTCGGAGAAGGCCCCCCACCCTCCCTCTCCTTTTCCCTCCTCCTCTCCCTCCTTTTGTTCGTCCTCCCCTTCCTCCTCCTCCTCCTCCTCCTCCTCCTCCTCCTCCTCCTCCTCCTCCTCCTCCCCCTCCTCCTCCTCCTCCTCCTCTTATTACTAGTGTGTTACGTATTCATCGTATTAGCATTGTTAGTGTTACTAGTATGCGTCATAGTCTTCTGATTACTCTTAGTGTTATGTTTGTTGCTAGTAGTATGATTAGTAGTATTCGTAGTACTCGTAGTTTACTAGTAGTTTATAATATTGTTATTCGTAGTTTATTAATATTCGTATTATTGCTCGCCTTCATATTATTATCACTCT